CTCCGGAGCTGTTTCTTGCTAACTGTTTTGAAAATGAGGTCCCGAGTCTTTTGTTCGTGACCTGTTTTCACCGATAGGTAACGGTTTCATGTGGTCCTCATTTGAGGGGAAGCTTCCTGATGGGCTCGTAATGCTTTACAAACGGTTTCTACTATTCGGCCCATTAATTCAGCTAACGGGCTAAATTCGGGCCCAACAGCCATCAAAGCATAATATACAAATTAAGTCTAACTCTCACATGAAGTAGCATATGAAAATATTACAAGGATGAAATAAAGTTGAATATGACATCAGCCATCTGAGAATCATATTCAGGTCCTTCCATCTGGAAATGGCTAACGCCTTCAAGGAGGTGTGTTTCGGTGCGTCCCACAGAAGATTTCAGCTTCTTCTTGAGCTGGTTAACGCTAGTGAAGCCGTCTTGTGTTCCCATAACGAAGAGTTTTGGTTTAGGAGATGAGAGAATGGCCTTGTGGTGCCTCCCAAATAGAACCGAGGCCATTAGGCCAAATGGGTATCCTAAACTCACATATCCAACCACTTGCTCTACTTGCTCCACCGCTGATCCTGCAATTGGTGCACCTGCCATAGAATACAAACTTATCTCAGTTTTTTTCTTTTTACAATATAAAAGAAGTTGGCATGGAATATCAGAATCACATTAGGGTTACTACAGGAAGATGCACCATGTACGACAAAGACACATAAAAGTTACGAGTTTGTCAACAAATGAGAGCAGCGAGAGAGACTGTAACATCTGATAATGTGTCCAATCTCTACCTCAAAATCACCTAGACACTTTACAACGATTGAGTCTATGCAAACATAAAATTTGGAGCTTATCTTCTGAACTTTCTAATTCTATTCTAATTTATACTTCCTAATTTTTACAATCTAGACTTGAAAACAAGAACAGATTCATACAAATGTGGAAAAACACCAGACATGAACAAGCAAGATGCTTCATCCACACAAGACTACTTACATCAGTTAACTCAACTAAACCACTTAGAGCATCTCCAACTCAACTCCATTTTTTACTCTAAAATAGAGTAAAACAGAATATGGAGAGACAACACTCCAACCCTACTCCATTTTCCCCACCATAATAGAGAGGGAGTAATCTATTTTTTGTTTGTTCATTAAAAATAGAGTGGGATTGGAGTATTTTTCCTCTATATTCTCTTTTACTCCATTTGGAAGAAAAAAAAAATGAAGTTTTACATTGGAGATGCTCTTAGAGACAACACCAAAACCGGAACAGAGTTGTCTAAGCTGATATAAATGAGCAAACTTGGATGGAAAACTTCAAACAAAAGAACTAATCATACTGTCAGTAGCTAATATACTCCCTCCAAGGTAATAACTAATAAGAACTAAATAGAGAGACAAAAAGAGTTAAAAGGAACACCTTTTGTTAAGTTTTCCACCACAACCAACAACTCAAACACACCTCAAATGTTCCTTTTATACCCTCAACTCAGAAGAATCCATACACTAAAATTGGAAGGAAAAAGGATGAAACTTTACCAGCAGAAGAACCAACAAGGAGGATCCTATGAGCACCGAGATTCTGAGAAACCCACCGACAAACAGCGATCACATCCTTAACCTCAGCAAACCCAGTAAGAGTAGCTCTCCCCGTTGATTTACCAGCACCTCTCGTATCGAAAGTGACGGCCTTTAAGCCTTTACAGGCCAACTCAGAAGCTATGCCTCTGAGGAGAGCTTGACAACCACCGAGGAGAGAGAAAGGGTGGACCAAAACTATTGTCAGATCCTCCTCGTCTGAAGCTTGTACATCTCTGGGTTTAAAGACTCTCGTGTGGAGCTTCACACCTTCCTCGGAATCGACGTCGCAAGATTCCACTACAAAGTTTGAAGAGGAGGACGACATGATCCGGAGAGATCTCGGATGACTTGATTTACGGTCAAGCTCTAACCGTTTTCATTGGTTTGTTTATTTCTTGTGGGTTATTTTATTTTATGTCTAGGAAAAATGGGACACAGCACATGTTTAACGAGCCTTAAATTATTTATAGGTCTAAGTTTTAAGTAAACTACTAGAGTTTGATCTACATCTTTCCATGCCAATGTTAGATTTAATTTCTATAAATATAAACTCATAAAATATTTTTTTTCAAAAAATATTATGTATGTTTTTTTTATGTTTTGTAATTTACATATTGAATAAAATATATGATTGGTTCTAAAATGTATGATTGTTTTGAACTCAACATCTAAATGAACAAGCAAGATGCTCCAAGATTATTTAGGCCATTTATAATGGTGGATTTCAATTTAGGGTCCTTAGGCATTAATGATGTTTTTTTTTCAAATTTTTTTGAATAGTAAAGAATTCTAATCAAAAAGTTGAGTCCAATTGTGGATTCCATTTTTTTCTCGTGATAGATCGAAAGTGAGACATTTTTGTTTAAACACGAACCAAACCACTTTTTCAGCCCAATGGCTCGAAGCCACGTCGATAAGGACTCGTTCCACAAAACACTAATTTAAGGATTGCTCCTTAACAATTCGTCTTTTTATAATTGTTTCCCGCACGACGAACCTATGTTCGCGAGCCAAAGACTCCTACAATCCCCGTTGCGGCTGGTCTTACATCAGTTCCTTTTTGTTTTTTTTTTTATGTTGATTGGTTAGAAATTCAGCGTTTGAGTTTAGCTTAACCGGATTTTGATTTTGCTAGGAAAGGAAGAGTCAGCTTGTTGTAGGCCCACTCATCGAGCGCCTATCCATGGGCTTTCGGCCCACAATAACAAACCTTACCGGCTATCTTTTTTGAGCAACTGGATTTTACGGGTCTACAAAAGTCAACTCCGGTTTAGTTTGATTTAGAAAAAGTTAAAGCGAATCAACACACGACATGTGTCAAATCCACGAAGGCGCTATTCTTAGGCCAGTCGTTGAAGAAGTAAAATTCCCGTGAGTGAGAGAGGTCCTTTCTCCGAAGATAGTTTTCGCTTCGATAAACCCTTTTCGACGTTGGAGTTCGTTCCCGTCCCTCTTCTCACACTCTCTCCGAAGAGCTCACTTTCGCCGCGTAATTATAAAAATGGCGGCTGCAGAGAGCTCACCTCCTCCTCCCGTAACGTCCACTGCGATGAGGAATGCTTTCGGAACAGTTCTCTCAGCTCTGATCCTCCTCCTCATTGGTGTCCTCGCTTTCTCGATCCGTCTCTTCTCCGTGAGTTTCACTCACCTCTCTTCTCCTTTAGGCTCTAGATCGGGTTGCGCTAGTTTAGATCCGATTATTCTGGATCCGATCTCATCATCTCCAATTGATGTGTTATATTCAAAAGCTTGCTCAAGAGATTTGCTTGTCGTCTCGTCTCTGCTTGGAATTTAAGAGAATGCTTAGGATGAGGCTAACACTTATTTGAAATTACTATTCTGTTGGTAATAACGTTTCATTGGTTTATTTTTTCAGGTGATAAAGTATGAGAGTGTGATTCATGAGTTTGATCCTTACTTCAATTATAGAGTCACTCAGGTTCACTCTCTCTTTTCTTTATTATATCCTGGATTTAATTAGTTTTATTTTTATTATTATTGTGTTTAATTGATCATGTTGTTGTTTAATTTCAGTTCTTATCGAAGAATGGAATATACGAGTTCTGGAATTGGTTTGATGATCGGACCTGGTAGATTATCTCTTTGTTTATTTTCTTTGATATCTTCAATAGTGTTATGCTGATTTGTGTTTTGATTTTAGGTATCCTCTTGGCCGTGTGATTGGAGGAACTGTTTACCCTGGCTTAACATTGACTGCTGGAACCATCTGGTGGTGAGTGTACTTTTACCAAGAATCAGCAATTATATTTGATACACACTTATGGGGGCAGGTTTAAAATTTTGATTCTGCTTCAGGGTCTTGAATGCAATAAACATTCCTCTCTCAGTAGAGACTATTTGTGTCTTCACTGCACCTGTTTTCTCAGTTTTTGCGTCATGGGCGACTTACCTTTTGACCAAGGTTTGTCTCTTGTCTCTCTCTAATTAATTCCAGAACCAGTTGATTAAACTGTATCTATTTGCATTCTAACAGGAAGTTAAGGGATCCGGTGCTGGATTAGCAGCTGCTGCTCTTTTGGCCATGGTATGTTATTTTCATTTATATACGTGTAGTTTTTCTTCAAGTGATGTTTCGAAAGAGCTATGAACGGTAAACATTAAGTTTATGGAACATTATGGTTTATGATTTTTAATATGTTCTTGCTTAGTTGTTTAATGCCGTGTAACTATTTTAGCATTGTTGCATCGTTTAGTGGAAATTGCTACAGAAGTGTATGGATGCGATTCTTTAGAGTTTTGTTTGTTTGCTTTCTTTTTACTAAATGGTTATCTTTTGCAGGTTCCCTCATATATATCCCGGTCTGTAGCTGGGAGCTATGACAACGAAGCTGTTGCCATTTTTGCTTTGATCTTCACTTTTTATCTTTACATAAAGGTTAGGGTTTTCTCCAATGGCATGTAAAGTTGTTTTTATTTTTATTCTATTGAGCATGTGGATAATAAAATGCCTTCAACAACCAACAACAAGCTTTCTCTTGTCAATGCAGACACTAAATACAGGTTCCTTGTTTTATGCCACCCTGAATGCCATTGCATACTTTTACATGGTACGACTTGGGATAATTCCTCACTTTTTCTCCCTTTCCTTTTACCATTCTATCCTCGGTTATCAATTTTCTCCTTTTTTTTCATTACATAGGTATGTTCGTGGGGAGGTTACACCTTTATTATCAATCTGATACCAATGCATGTGCTTCTGTGCATTGTAACTGGCCGGTACTCTCCCCGACTATACATTGCATATGCTCCTTTGGTATGACTCTTCTTCCTTGGTAATAAATAAAAAATATCGTCTCTGTTGGAGTGAAGTGGTTGTATACTTGTATATATCACCTATGATACTGAAGAATAGCTGATATGGGACTATTCTGAAAGTTAGTGTGCATGCATATGTAGGTTGTGTTGGGCACGCTGTTAGCTGCGTTGGTACCTGTTGTTGGCTTCAATGCGGTTTTGACATCTGAACATTTTGCCTCGTTTTTGGTGAGTCTTTCTTCTTGCCCTGATTTCTTACGCATGCCTCTTAATTTAATGCTTATTATTCATTTTGAATAATTGAGTGTTACAACGACCATGGATTAGTCCTCTGGGTGCTTAATTTTCTGGATGCGAGTCTACTTATTTTATCGTTGAATTTATGCAGGTTTTCATTATCATCCATGTAGTAGCACTCGTATACTATATCAAAGGCATTCTTACTCCTAAAATGTTCAAAGTTGCTGTGACACTTGTTGTGTCTATCGGCCTGTAAGTTTTCTTATCGTGTCTTTCTCTGACATTTCTAAGATTTCTATACCTTGATAAGAGGAGTTTATCGGCAGCTGATCCAACTATACATAGCTAGTACAGATGGATTATATATCAGAGGATAAAAAGCTTCTATGATCCATTATTTTTACAGGGTTGTGTGTCTCATAGTTGTGGCAGTTCTTGTGGCACTGGTGGCTTCAAGTCCAACAGGAGGATGGAGTGGTAGGAGTTTGAGTCTACTTGATCCGTGAGTGGTTCTAGTTTTTCAATCTTTACTTCTCCTACTGGTTATTTTTCTTTGCGAATTTTGAGAATGCCCTTGTCTACATTTCAGAAATTCTGCTTTATCGTTTTGTAATTGTAGCATATTTGACACTCCCTTGTTCTTCGTTTCTTTGTCGATCATTTAACAGAACTTATGCAAGCAAGTATATTCCAATTATTGCAAGTGTCAGTGAGCATCAGCCTCCAACTTGGCCGTCCTATTTCATGGATATCAATGTTTTGGCTTTCTTAGTTCCTGCTGGCATCATTGTGAGCTCAACCTTCATTATATTTAGATTTTTTTTTACGGAAGAACATTACTTTTGTCTATAGATTAGTGTTGATTATTTTCCATTTTCTTATTCTTCTGTTCGTAGGCGTGCTTTTCGCCTCTGTCTGATGCGAGCTCTTTCGTGGTCCTCTACATTGTAATGTCTGTCTACTTCTCCGGAGTTATGGTGAGTTGCATGCCTACGAATTACAGTTTCATCTTTTCTTCCACGATGAATCACCTGTCCTCCTGATTTCTTAGGTCCGTCTTATGCTCGTGCTTGCTCCAGCAGCATGTATCATGTCTGGAATTGCACTCTCTCAAGCTTTTGACGTTTTCACGGGTTCCATCAAATACCAATTATCGTCTAAATCCAAAGATGATGTTAGTATGCTTTCTCTCTCTACTTTACTCGCCCTGATGAATCACCTTTGCTACCCAAAATCTGGACAAAAAATTGTTTGTGTTTCGATTATTAGGCAGAGAACAACACTTCTACAAACAATTCCTCAAAAGATGATGCTTCTTCTGGTAAGGCTGACAAGGGTGAAGAAGTTGCAAAAGAACGGTCATCAAAAAAGGGCAAGAAGAAAGAGAGAGAACCTTCTGAGAAACCTTCTGTTAAGTCCAAGATTTTGAAGAAAAAGGCTCAAGTTTTGCCTCTTGAAGCCTCTATAGTTGCGCTTCTTCTCCTTATAATGTTGGGTTCTTTCTATGTGGTATGCTGGCTTTCTTCGAGTTGTTAGTTTTGATCCATCTTTTATCGTTAGTTGAGACGAGACAAAGTACAAATGATAAGACTTTCAAATGCATACCTTTCTTTTTTGTAGATTCATTGTGTTTGGGCAGCTGCAGAAGCATACTCAGCTCCATCAATAGTTTTGACATCTCAATCGCACGATGGCCTTCACGTCTTTGATGATTTTAGAGAGTCGTATGCATGGTTAAGCCATAATACTGACGTGGATGACAAAGTAAGTCTTTTTGGCAAAAGCCAGGCACCTCTTAGATCCTATTAAGCCTGCTTTATTAAGGTATTACTATGAGGTGCATTTGGTATAAGAACCTGAGTTTGTTTTGCGAAAACAAAATCCTGTAGGTGGCATCATGGTGGGACTATGGCTATCAGACGACAGCTATGGCTAATAGAACTGTTATTGTCGACAACAACACCTGGAATAATACTCACATTGCAACTGTTGGCACTGCCATGTCATCTCCAGAAAAGGCGGCGTGGGAAATTTTCAACTCCTTGGATGTGAAATACGTTCTTGTCGTCTTTGGTGGTATGTTTTTGGCTCATAGTCATGAGGCGTTTATCTTGTATATTATATAATGAGACCATCACTTTATCAGGTGTTATTGGTTACCCAAGTGATGATATTAACAAGTTTCTGTGGATGGTGCGTATTGGAGGCGGCGTCTTTCCTCATATAAAGGAAGCTGATTATCTGGTATTGTTATGTTTTTTTTTTCCATTCGGTTTTAGCTTCCTGCTGTGCTGGCCTTTGAATCTGAACCTGACATTCCTTTGCAAAGAGAGATGGCCAATACCGGATTGATTCTGAGGCCACACCAACAATGTTGAACTGCCTTATGTACAAGCTCTGTTACTACAGGTACGAAGCTTTCCTGTAAGTTGTAGCCTTGAACACTGTTTGCAAGCTCAGTGTGTGTTTTTTTGCGCTTCAGGTTTGTAGAGACAGATGGTAAAGGCTATGACCGGGTCAGGCGAACAGAGATTGGGAAGAAACATTTCAAGCTCACACATTTCGAAGAGGTAAAATTTAAATCCCTTACCACAAACCGGTGGAGCAGTGGTTCCACTTAGATTCTGGTTAACGTGACTGGTTTTTGTCATATCAGGTTTTCACGAGTCACCACTGGATGGTTCGGATATACAAGCTGAAACCACAGAAGAACAGGATTCGTGGTAAAGCGAAGAAGCTGAAACTGGTAAAGCACATACTCATTGATGTGTACTAGTTGTATCATTTGATTAATAAACCTTTATTAGTTGAATTTCGACTTTAATAGCTATGTCAGGTATAAGTTGGTACACGACTGTGAGATTAATGAGTTTCAGAGCTAGGATGGATATGTGATGACTAATGTTTTCTCGTTTTTGGATTTTTATTTGATTCCAGAAAACAAGCTCTGGATCGAGCTCAAAGTCAGCGAAGAGGAATCCATGGATGTAGAATTCGTAAAAGTTTTGTAGACCTTTATGTGGATTTGTTAAGTCGACTTTTCATGTTTTATTGTGGAGATTTACACCAGATATCTATGAAGAAGTTTAAGTTTATATCAAATAAGAATTTATTTACAAGCCAAACAACGCTCACCTCTTTAACGTGAAGCTCTGCATTGTCAGCTTAGATCTTGTTCAAGGACCGAGTAGCGTATTGCATTTGCATACGTTCTTCGTCTATTTCCTCTCTAAGAAGCCCAATACACTATAAAAGCCCATTTCTAAAGCCCAATACATGAGCAGAAGCCCGTTTTCATGTTTTGCCAAACACGAATCATACATATGCAAGTTCGACAGTCACCGTTCAATTACTTAGAAGTATCTGTCAAGAAGCTACAACGATGCTTAGCTCAGCCACTCTCACCCGCAAAACACCACTCTCGTTCAACTCTCTTGGGCTTTTCGGTAAGAACACATCGTACTTCAACAGAAGGAGGACTCTTACTGAAGCTGGTTCAAGTGGGGCTAGCATTTCGTTTCGGTACAAAAATGGTCGTGTCAATTGGTCTGGGCTTTCGGGTACCATGTTTGGACATATGCGTCGTGTCTCTTCAGTCTCAGGTGGAAATTCAGGTGACTCCATCGGAATCGGTGGTCATTTCTGTCATGGTAAATATTTTTTAACTCCTCTTATATATATACTTCTTTGTGTAAAGATTGTTACGTTTTGGCTTTTGATTTTTTTGTTTGTTTTTATGTGGTAATTCAGGTACTTGGGTCTTCTCGCAAACTATCCTGTTTTGACTAAAGCTGTGACATCAGCAATTCTGACACTCATTGGTGATTTGATCTGTCAGGTAACTCTCTTATTGTTGTGCTTGATTCTCACTAGTTATCATATATAACTTCTTATTGAGAAGGCAAGATTGATTATGCCTTGTTGCGCTTGGTTTCAGCTTACAATCAATAGAACCTCATCTCTGGACAAGAAGAAAGACACTCACATTTACCATCTCTGAATTTCGCAACTCTATATTAGGTATCTATACTTGAGCAAAGTGGTGACAGCTTCAGGTTTATCAGGCGCAGTTTTGAGGCTTTTACTGGACCAGGTAGCTTTTAAGTTTCCTGTTTTCCGACTGACATTTATGTCTCTCTCTCTCTCTCTCTTGCTTCCATTGTGTTAAGACCAGTTTCTTTTTTCATTTGCAGTTTGTTTTTGCACCTGTTTTTGTTGGAGTTTTCTTATCAGCTGTTGTGACACTTGAAGGAAAACCGTCACATGTCATTCCGAAGCTGAAACAAGTTGGATTATTATAGCTAATCAATCTTTATATTAATCTCCAGAGAATGTTAATATTTTTAAAAATTGGTATTCTAATTGAGTCCACTAATTTCTGGCTGTGTAGGAGTGGACTGGGGCGGTACTAGCTAACTGGCAGCTATGGATACCATTTCAGTTTCTTAACTTCAGATTTGTTCCACAAAACTTTCAGGTTTGATTTTACTTAGCTCTGTTTCTATCATTAATTTCGTATATCTGTGACAATTTATTAGACGAATTACACTAGAATGACATTGTCATCTCTCTGCATCATATCAGTTTTAGGCATATAGCCATTACCTTTCTGCTTTAAGTGGCGCCGAGGATGATTTTATTTAATCGTTCGTAAATCGTCAATGTCTTATATTTTAAATTGCAGGTACTGGCTTCGACCGTAGTGGCTCTGGCTTGGAATGTGATTTTATCATTCAAAGCTCACAAAGAAGTTGTTCCAAAATAGGCAAATGTTTCGTTCCCTACAAGCTACTTGTGTTGTTGGATTTGTAATCGGCAGAGTTTTGGGGCGGGAAGAGAGTGAGTGTTTGTCTGCTGATGCAAATGGTTTGGTAGAGTACTCTTCTCTTGACATTATATGAATGTAGAAACAAGCTTTGTCTTTCAACGTTTTAGCTTTTCCTGTCCAAAGGGACACAACAATCACACAACCATCAAAACTCATAAGACCTTCTTTTCTAATGCAGAACTAGTGTTTACTAGTTTAGAGACTTCTCACACTAAGTGTTTTCTCTAGTCTACTTCTTTAACAGATTTGATTTGATTTATCATGCTGAAAATGAAAATTTTACCAGACGATTCTGTGGATCATTGGCTCTAACAGCTATCTACATTATTTAACCGCGTGGTAGAATTTTTTTTATTATTCTAATTGTATGCGAGATTGAGAAGAGCAGAGGATTACCCACGACTGTGGATGTCTCACCAAGACCAAGATATGTCGGAAGAACAGAGAAGATATTTTAAATTGGAGAAATAAATGAACAGTTCCAGTAGAGTAAATGATAAAGGTTTTTGGTTCAACAAAAGCTTGATGATGAAACTCTGAAGCTCACAATGCTCCTCACTCTACCAATGAATTCAACCAAAGATTTTTTTTTTTTTTTTTAAAAACAGCAAGGTGGAGAAAGTTTAAAGAACATTGTACAGGATTAAAAACAAACACAAGTAGTTGACAAGAATCTTAAGCAAAAAAAAACAAAAAGATAAAAAAAAAAACACATTGTTTGAGATAGAAGAAGGTGTCAGTAATCTTCACCTTCATCTTCTTCGTCATCTCCACCTTCAGCACCCACTTCTTCATAATCCTTCTCCAGTGCCGCCAAGTCCTCACGTGCCTCAGAGAACTCACCTTCCTCCATTCCTTCACCAACATACCAATGCACAAACGCCCTCTTTGCATACATCAGATCAAACTTGTGGTCGATCCTTGAGAACACCTCTGCAACTGCTGTGTTGTTGCTGATCATACAAACTGCTCTCTGGACCTTGGCGAGGTCACCTCCAGGAACAACTGTTGGAGGTTGGTAGTTGATTCCACATTTAAACCCTGTTGGACACCTGTTAGAACAAAAAAAAAACAATTATGTTTTTTACATGGAAGGTTAAATAAAACAGTAGCAACTTTGTCCTTAGTTTGTTAATTTTTTTTATACCAGTCAACAAACTGAACAGTCCTTTTAGTCTTGATAGTACCAACAGCAGCATTAACATCTTTAGGCACAACATCTCCACGGTACATCAAACAACAAGCCATGTATTTCCCATGCCTTGGGTCACACTTTGCCATCATGCTCGCTGGCTCAAACACTGCATTAGTGATCTCAGGGATTGATAGCTGTTCATGGTAAGCCTTTGCAGCTGAGATGACTGGAGCATAAGAAGACAACATGAAATGGATACGAGGATAGGGGACAAGGTTGGTCTGGAACTCAGTGATGTCAACATTGATGGCTCCGTCAAACCTCAACGATGTTGTCAAGGATGATATGATCTGAGATATCAACCTGTTTAGGTTCGTGTAAGTTGGCCTCTCGATATCTAGTGATCTGCGGCAAATATCATAAATAGCTTCGTTATCCAAAAGGACAGCTACATCGGTGTGTTCAAGTAAGGAATGCGTTGAAAGAACACTGTTGTAAGGCTCTACAACAGCAGTAGAAACCTGAGATAACAAAACCAAATTTAAAGAACTGTTCAAAATGTAATAAAAAAACTAAATGAAATTTCTCTGGTACCTGAGGAGAAGGGTAAATGGTGAATCCAAGTTTAGACTTCTTTCCATAATCAACAGACAAACGTTCTAACAAAAGAGAACCCAAACCAGAACCAGTTCCACCACCAACAGCATTAAACACTAAAAACCCTTGCAAACCAGTACAGTTATCCGCAAGTTTCCTCACTCGGTCAAGACACAAATCCACAATCTCCTTCCCAACTGCAAAATTACATAAATAAAATCAAAAAGACCATTTAACAAAATTCCAAGAAAATTAATCTCAGACTCTTTTTTTGCTCACCAGTGTAATGTCCTCTAGCGAAGTTGTTAGCAGCATCTTCTTTACCAGAGATAAGCTGCTCTGGATGGAAAAGCTGCCTGTAAGTTCCTGTACGGACTTCATCGATAACAGTAGGCTCGAGATCAACAAAGACAGCTCTAGGTACATGCTTTCCAGCACCTGTCTCGCTGAAGAACGTGTTGAAAGCATCGTGTGCTACACCAACCGTTGAATCACTGCCAAAAAGAAAAAAAAAAGATTATTTACTACTAACCCTGCCATTTCATATTAAACTTCACAATAAAATTCTTTGTTACAAAATTTTCAGTTTCAATACAAAATTTATTAATTTTAGTTTTTTATTAGTTAAAATATAATTATATATATAGTTAATTATTTTTATATATAGAAAATATGTAAAATTGATTGTTTTCTTAGTTATGTGTCCACAAATCTAACAAGATTTGCTTAGTCACAATAGAATTTTTTTTGTTTACAAAATTTTCGGTTTTCGTTACAAAATTTATTAATTTTATTATACAATTTATTTTCTATCGGTTGTAACATGCTTAGATACATAACTAATTGTGTTTTTATATAAAAAAATATGTAAAATTAATTGTTTCTTAACTTAATTTGTGTGCACAAATCTAAACGAAATCGAAAATTGTGGAATTAGGTTATCATCAACATACCTAGGCATCATACCATCGGGCTGGATCCCATGTTCGAGGCAATAAAGCTCCCAGCAAGAGTTTCCAACTTGGATCCCAGCTTGACCGATATGAATGCTAATGATCTCCCTCATCTTCTTTGCTTCTCAGAAGAAAACGATCGTCTTCTTCTTCTTCCTCTGGCGTGAGGGAGGGAGAGGAGAAATGAATGAGATCTTCTTTTTTTTTCTTTTTTTTTTTACTTCGTTATTATTATTGGGTGGGAGACTATTTATTGATAATTGGTTTTGGGGTCCGCCAAATTTTGTGACAGCCTGAGATTAGACAAAACACATGAGATTCGATCTGGATCTTAGATCTGGTCCGGTTTGTTATTTTTATCTCCCCCTCCCCGGTTTTCTTTATTTTTACCGGATTTAGGTAGTGAGAAAAATAACCTTAACCGGAAGGAATTGATTTTTTTTGGTTTAGAGATTATGTGGTTTAGGATCAAACCAGAAATTATGATCCCGTGAGAATGTGATTCTCTTTAATGTTGTTTTTATCCCCCCCCTACCTGGTTTTCTATATTTTTACCGGATTTAGGTAGTGAAAAAATAACTTTAATGGAACGGAATCGATGTTTTTGGTTTAGAAATTATCTGGTTTAGCTGTTGGAGGATAATTTATTAGAATCAAACCAGAAATTATGATCCCGTGAGAATGTGATTCTCTTTAATGTTATTTTTCTATTTTAAGTAACTTGAATATATTCTCATTCATAACGTGTCTTCAAAATTTGGAAATAAATGTTTTCATGTTTTTTATTTGGGTCGAGTGGCGCGGGATATAAGATGAGTTTGATTTGCTCACTTGATCGGACATAAATGATTCCGAAATTAGGAAAGCTGTGAATTGATCAAATTGTAGTAACTAACTAGTTTATCAGCATAATTGGTGAAATTTATACTCCCTCCGTTTCAGGTTATATGTTGTTGTTTAAAAAAATTCGTTTTAAAATAGATGTTGTATTATAATTTTGATACAAAATTATTAATTTTATATATATTTTATTTTTTTATTGGTTGAAATATAATTAAATATATAAATAATATTATTTTTTTAAAAATATGTCAAATTAAATAATTTATGTTCAAAAACTTAAAATAACAATTAAAATGAAACGGAAGGAAGAGTTTTTAATCGTTTGATTTAGTGGACTGATTTAATAGCTGGACGAGCTAAGAGGTAAATGAATTAGAATCTTATTATAGCCATGGGCTGTTTTGTGTTCAAGGTGTCACGTAGATTGAATTATTGTTTGGACAGTTGTTTTGGATATAGAAGATCAAAACAAACGATTACAACTTACAAGATCCATTGAATCCGCACAAACGAATTTCACCTACTTCCGAACAATTCATCAGTGATAAGAAAATTAGTGGCAGTGACAAACCTAAGTTCACATCATGGCGTAAATCATATGCATTTAAATATAACATAGATGTATATAATAAGTTATAAACTATACGAACCGAATATTCTCATGGGTTTGAGGATCTGATTGCTAGCGATGTTTGTTCTTGCGCTGGTTAGCATGCGCCTTAGTGTCCATGTGCTTGTTGAGCACTTGAGCTAGCTAGTTGATATTCTCTTTATTTCTTATTCATGTGGGAGTTGAAAGTAGTAATATATGTAAACTGTTAAATGCTGAACATATCCAAGTATGCATAGCCAAGTAATAACTAAGGTTATGTGCTTCTATGATCTAATCAGGATCATCTTCTTTTTGAAGAAAGAGTTATTATTGGTTAATTATATCCCATCAGCAAGACATTAGGCATGACAGTGCGACAACTATGCACCTCCAATACATGAACTGCAAACTAGAAGATTGAATTCCTGATGTAAGCAAATCTAAAACAAGCTTATTCTAATAAAAGCAAATCTAAATTTTATCAAAAAATAAAAAGAAGCAAATCTAAAACAAGCTTACTCTAACTGTATAATAACCTAATAAAGAAATAGAAGAAAGATAAGCTGGAATAGCTCACCAACAGATTTAGTGTGCATGAAAGGTAAAAGAGACAAAAACAATAATGATGCTACCAAGATCAAATGTTTTTTGAAATTGAACAAATATCAAAGGAAAGAGGAGAGTTGCACAACTGTAGATTATCTTACGTTAGTAACGTAACGTCTATATTAATATATTTACTAAAACATGTTACACTTCCATTATTTCATACTTCCATTATTTCATATTGTTGAGTGGGTTTAGGGTACTTGTGTCATGGGGGTGCTTGATCTCAGTGTCCTTATACAAATCCGACCTCCTAAGTTAAATGTCGTTTGCTAGATATATGGGCTACGTTAGTTAGTTTTGTGCTTGTACAGCTCCTCGTTTGCAAAATTATTAATATTCTAATCATGATTTTAAAAATTATTAATACTTGATAAACATTTCCAGTGACATTTTTCTGCGGTTGACATTTTCTCAAAATAACACAAAAAAATCATTAACTTTCTCTAGAGATTTGCAAGTTGCTAATTTTTAATTTCAATATTAAAATGAGCTTTATATTTAATAAATAAAGAAACCTCTTACAGGCTTTCAAAAACTCAAGATCCGTTTTGCAATTTGTGTTTTTCACCGTGCCAGCCCAGCCACAGTACAAATACTATTTCTATGAACTGTATCATGGGGGCAATATTGTCAAAATCAACCCATCTTCGGACAAAAACGATGCCGTGGGACCCAAGGCAGACTGTCAACTTGGCGGACCCTGACAATTTATCAAATCTCATTCATTAATATAAACCTAATAAAGGAGTCAAAGTAAAATTAAAAATTATTTCACATAGTTATGATTTTTAAACATGCCTCGTGCGATTCAAGCTGGTTCTACAAAACACCGATCATAATTTCTCATCTGTGAGTTTTCATTGATTTTTCCCTTTAATCATTTAACGAACTCAAAATTTTACCCTTTAATCATTTAACGTTGTTACATACTTATATACACAAAGTTGGTGGAACTCACCCGAACCAAATCACCCCCTTTGTCCCTGACCAGCTACAATTTGCCCGGTGGCATTTAAGAGTTATCCAAGGCACTATTGTAATTAGGTATTGATGTTCTGGAATCAAGTGTTATATCATCACATTATAGAAAACCCTTTATAATCAAATCATAAGTATTTAAATCATATCTTTCTTTTTCTTCTCCAGTTTCTGCACCTTTCATTAAAACAAAAAGATTTAAAAGTTCATTTGTTTTTAATACTGTTTAATAGGAGATTTATTTCCGACTTAATTCAGATATCCATTATGTTTATCTGATTTGTTTCACCATTTAGTGGATTTTTCATCTGTTTTTGTATGTCTTTTCATGTTTATTCATAAATTATGAAAGTTACAAAAATTTGGACTATGCTTTGTTTGATCCTTCATTCTTTAGTAAGTGTAAAATTTCATTTTCTGATATAGAATCTCGGGTTAGAGATTTATTAGTCTGATTAAATTGAGTTAATTGGAATTTGGGATTTGATTAAATGTTTTAGTCCAGAAAATCTATAAATTTAGGCCCGAAAATGTAAAGCTCAATATAGGCCCATCTATAGAGTAGTCAGCATTGATACTGTCACTGTGATTCGAGGTTCCAGCATGGTTTTGGCTGAAGAGGCTTATGGGGTTTCTCTCTGAAATGGTGAAAGGAAAGTACATTGCCTGATATTGTTAGCTCCAATACTCTGCTTGGTGGATGGGTTTTGTAAAGTTGGGGAACTTTGCTAGAGCTGAGGCTTTAGTGGAAAATAATCACGGAACTAAACCGTCTAATCGTATTCTAGCACCAAGTTTCAGTTGTAACCAACTCAAATGTTTCATTTCTCTCTCTGATATATACACTACAATAGCAGGCTTGGACCATCTTTGGACACCTACAGAACAGTGATAAGATCCAAGACCATCTGTAATGGTGGTTTTTCGCTAATCCTTAGCACACAATCCTATGTCAATCTAAATAAAATAATATTAACAAAGCTAAGTTTGCTAAGGAACAGTCTTTAATTAAGGAATTTAAGAACTAAGTCTTTGGTGACGTGGCAGCGTCTCTTGGGTTTGGTAGAGAGGATTTAACAAAATACTAGATCATAACCCGCCCGACTGGGCGGGTCTTTGTTTTTATGGTATATATAACATTTCCAATCTCTAGAAAGTAATAGTCTACTGTTTAAATATTGTATTTTATCACTGTATTGTGTAACATGGGCGTCGTAAAATGTTGTGACGCGTAAACATTTTAGTAATAGTTTATAAAGTTATTTTTTGACTAAATTTGGTGCAAAGATATATACACTAAATAATTTAGTCAAATTGTTAAGTTAATTTTTTAATGAAGAATTGTACAAATAAAAAATTTATTATTAAAAAAGGATATTATAAAATAATATCCAACTAAATATGTAAATTACAAAACATAAAAATATATAATTTTTTTTATAAAACTGGTGTTATTTTTAATTTACTCAACAAAAAAAAAATTAAATATGGTTTTCAATTAAAATATAAACTATAGATAGAAATAACTACAATGGGCCAATTCAACATCTACATTTGAGAGTGGACCATAAAACAAATAAATTAAACAAAGGCCCAACTCACTTATAACAATATTTTTTTCCGGGAAAAAAAGTTATTTAGACTAACCTAACTAATTTTTGTGTTGATCTCTCTCTTTCTCCCTGTCGGCAAGATGAGTTGAGCTTAACTTCATCGAAAGAGATATAATTTGTTTCTCAGATGATTTTGAAATTTGCAACTCCGGTGGTGTAAGATAGAAGGTAAGAATTTCCTTCTCTTCCGTTATTTCTTGTTGCTGTCGTTTTATCTTTAAATCCATTTGATTTCAGTTGTCTTGGAGATCGGTAGATTCGATGGATGAAGACTTCAAATTACTTTGTTAATTTTACATGGGATAAAGATAAGAAGACTGAGAAGCAACATAAGGATTTCAAGGTAAGAATAATTTGCATGTAAAGTTGAATATCTGACATCCATCAGATTTATTCAAACTCACCTCATACCATACTTGAATATCTGACATCCATCAGATCTCGGTCGTTATCTTATTAAAGTTGTAGCCGGACTGGAAAGATAAGTTTTCTCTTCAAACGTTAATAAGTTTTATGTGGTTTCATATATCTTAATCTGAAATCGATCAATCTTGATAGTGATGTCAATTGAATATAAGTTTAAT